GCGCCGGGCGCCGGGGGCTGGGCCTCGGGGACGCGCGTGCGCAATCGCCCTCCCCCGTGCCCGTCCTCTCCGCGGTTGTTGGGGATGAGTGGGCGTGGCGTCGACGTAAACTTTACGTGATATCCCGCGCACGTCTGTGCCTTTTCCCACGGGCTTGAGCTCCTTGCCTCCGGTTTGGCTTTCACCGCCCTCTCCACGGGTTAGGAAGTCAGGGTGTCTATTTTACAGTGAGTGTCCAGGATCAAACAATTCGTTTATGACAAATCATATTTCAGAACCCAGGGCTCAGAAATGGGCCCTTTGTCACGATAGAGCTATACCGAAATAGGTGGGGTGGAAGCCGTCAAAGGAAGTAGGCAAGAAAATCATGTCTCATACTTTAGATATCTTGCTAGATTGGCTGTCACCACACTGAAAACCACTTAAGGTAGTAGTGAATGCTAATTAAACATGAAAGCATCCCATAATTTAATACAACTTTCTATTAAAGCCATTCAGCGGGTGGGGAGAATCCATTCATTCCACAAATATTGAGCAGCTATTTCTCAGGGAAACAAACATAAGGCTGTCAGCACCTTAAAGATTTACAGCTTCAAAGACCCTGAATGGGGAACTCTGGGTCAGAACCGACCGGATGGCTGTGCGTGTGGTGGTGTGGTGTTGGGCGAGTACACAGTGGCTGACAGTGCATATGATGAACGGGCAGTGCAGCCGTGGCAGCTGGAAGGCACAGGACTGCCTGGTTTTTCTAGTTCTCTCACGGTTGCTGTCGGTGTCAGGACGCAGGCTTCCCACTTTTCTACGCCTTGTAGTGGAAAATACTTACGTTCAACAACTTTCTGCCTTCCACAGGTTCATTTTACAGGTTTTACTGTGAGGAATGTCACTGAATTGTACGTGCACGTGTACATGTTCAAATGTTTTGCTACAGATTATATTAACCATAGGTTTAAAAATCTCATGGCTCTTAAAGTCTCATAAATGATCAAAGGAAATGGAAAAATCCTTTTTGCTATAACGCTCTTATAAAACAGCATCAAAACCAAAAAAACTTCACTGCCATAAAGTCGTAGGGTGAGCGTAGAATTGTCCCTGTAGATTTCTGAGACTGTAACTCTACTGGAGTAGAAATCCTCCTGCTCTGGGACCTGTTTCCTCCAGGTCTCCAAAGGACTCTGTTTCCACAGGAGAGGGTACCCTCGCTGGAGTTGGGGGCTCCTGGCGGGAAGCGCCTCCAACACCAAAGTGCCTGGGCCCCAGCTCTGGTGGCTCAGATAAAAGTACTCCTACCTGAG